TGCACCGGGCCTCTAGTCCAATATAATAGCTAAATCACTAGGTAATATAAATCTGGAGAAAATGGGAAAAGAATAAATGTGCAAAATCAATAATGGAAATAAATTTTAAAAACAGAAAATAAAATTAAAATCTCATAAGAAACCATTTTGCACAGACCCCTACAAATACATTTGGAAACCTGGATATAATTTATTTTTAGAAAATGTAACTTATGTAAACTAATTCTAGAAGAGAAAGATAATCTAAATAGAGTGATTCCCATTCTTTATATTACTTTCAAAATATATTTGGCTTATATGATTTTAACAAGAATTCTGACACAAAATTCTGTGAGATAATCTCAATTCTATTTACATAGTATTAGAATATTGGTTAAAAGGAAACTTACTATTTTTGTATTTTAAGAAAACATCTTAAAAGCACCAATATAAGTACAAAGACCAAACTCATTTTTTAATATTAAGGCCTAAGTGTTAATTATAGTAACTAAAATCAAGCAGAATATGAAAATAATGCATCATGATTATGGATGATATAAGTCAATATATTATGTACCTAGCAAAAGTTTATAATAATTCTCTATAGTTGAAAGCATTTAATAAAATATATTTGTTCAATAGCTGTGTGGTTAACAATGATAAGTAAAATAAATTATAACATAGGGATTTATCTTATTAACATAAATTACGCTCATTCACTCTGTTGATATTTAAGGAAATTGAGAAGTATCCACTAACATGTTTAATTACTTACAATTGTACTGAGGGTGGTATACACTGCAATTAGAGAAGATAAAAAACTGGAGGTATATAAACTTTAAAAAGTGGATAAAATTTTATTGCTCTTTATGATCTGATTTTATAATAAGAAAAATCAAGGAGCATAAACTAAAAATTATACAAATATATTCTAATTTATAGAGGTACTATAGTACAAAATTAATATATGAAAATACTCTTGCCACATATGTCAGTAACAATCTCTCAGAAGATAGCACAGAGGAAAGATCAAATACTTAGGGATAAAAGTCTGTGCAACGACATGAATTTAAATAGCACTGTGCAAAATTTGAATTAAAAATTCTGAATTTTTCAAAGCAAACAAGCAAAAATAATAATTTGAAATGCATATCATGTTACCACTTACAAAAACTGTTACAGGATGTCAATATTTGAAATCTAATGTGGATATTTTATATATCTTAGGGGTAATATCTCAAATCATTGGAGGAAAAAGATATGCATTTAATAAGTACTGCCTGCCAATTTAGAGATTGCATTTTAAATAAAAGACTGAAATATAAAACAATATAGTGTTATTAGAGAAAAGATCAATTTTTACTAACTTTTGGATGACAATATCTTTCTAACTATGATTAAAATGTCAGAAAATATTTTTTTTTTGACCATCTGATTATTTTTAATGTCCAGAGTTTAAAATACAAGGAGCAGAGCTTCCTCTCAGACTCAAGTTTATAAACTCTCAATTGGCTTGTGAGGCCAGTAGGGATACTTCTTTTTGTCTAATTTGGTTTCCGGGAAGACTTCATTCAAATCCTCAATGGTCATCTGGTCAAATGGAATTATGTTCCTCATCTTCTCCAGCTGAAAGGAGGGGAAACATGTTAAGGTCAGCAGGGCTGCAGAGATGCAAAAAAGGAACCCAAGGCAGGTTTCTGCCATTCGGTGGAAGAGAGGAAACATATCCCAAAGGCCAAAGGCTATCCTTACCTCTTTCTCGTATTGCTCAATCCTGGTCTTTGAGAGAGACACAAACTCAGCACAACTTTTCACCTTTAAAAGAAGGGAGACATTCTGTTTTGGATCCAAGTTAAAGTGTCCTGACCCTGAGCCTTCTGGTTGGGGTATGATCTCCCCAAAAGCTACCCAGTCAATGGTTTTTAGAGCAAGTTTTCGCCCAGCAATCTTGAGATCCTTCACCAACCCCGGTGGCCCACAGTCCACAGAGCAAGTCTCAGAAAATATTTTTAAAAAAGATTGAGAAGTTTGACATCATACCATAAAACAATCTTAATTTAAAAATAATCTAAGTCAAAAAATATTTGACAAAACTGGAAAACAGTGACAAATTTTTATTCAAAGGACTGACTTCTTCCATATAGGGCACTCCTGCATATAGATTTTTAAAAGACTAAAAACACCTGTAAATATAGGCAAAGAATGTGAGAACAAAGTTTTAATAAATCAGTTTTAAAAAGCTCTAAAACAGGAATCAGTGAAAAGTTGATTACAATAGAAAGTTCAATTAAAACTTAACTGAGGTATTATTTTTCACTTTTTATATTTTCACTTATTGTTTTATTAAAAAATTGAACAATTTATTGAAATTTTTGATGTGACATTGGTTAACAAAATTATAAAGATTTCAGGTGTGCACTATATAATACATCACCTGTATATTGTATTGTGTGTTAGCCACCCAAAGTCAAGTTTTATGTCATCATTTATCTCCCCTATATCCTCTTATACCTCCCTTCCCACTATTCTTTTTCTTTCTTTTTAGATGTTTTTTTTATTGATTTCAGAGAGGAAGGGAGAGGGAGAAAGAGATAGAAACATCAGTGATGAAAAAGAATCATTGATTGGCTATCTCCTGCAAGCCCCCTGTTAGGGATCAAGCCTGCAACCTGGGATATACACTTGACAGGAATTGAAAGCAGGAACCCTTGAGTCTGCAAGCGACTCTCTATCCACTGAGCCAAACCGGCTAGCCACCCCCCACCCCTATTTTTTTTTTTTTAAAATCTATAAAATGGGATATAATAAAACTGGTAGAGAAGGGAGGAGGTGATCTTTTTAAATTGATATGAAATTTTCCAAGATCTGTTTGGTAAGTAATAAATCAAGGTATACAACATTGGGCATTGAATCTCTAATGAGTTTCCCTGGTACACAGCATTTCACACATGTTGTCACAACCTCTTTCTAGAGGAATTAAGCATATCCCATGTGACTCTGCTGGGAAAGGACTCTTGGAAGCTTGAGCTTGGTTCCCCCCTTCCCCCCATAAACATTTTCCCATTGCTGATTTGCTTTGCATCCTTTTGTGACAATAAATCATAGCCATGAGTAGAACTACCTGCCGAATCCTGTTAGTACTCCTAGTAAATCATGAATCTGGGAATGGTCTTGACACTCCTTATACACCAAAATATTTCTTCAGACTTAGTTAGAGGAATTGTTTATTGGGTCCCTTAAGATGGGAGGGGAGGCGGGTAGGTGAGTTACATATTTAAAGTTCACTACATCATTTCTATTTCCCTATATCATTGTATTCACTCCCCAATACAAAACCAAGGAAAAATTTTAACCTCACCTTTACTTACTGCCTAGTCCAGTTTTTAACCAACAAGTGTGCAAAATTTGAACAATGCCCCACTACTAGAGTTAACAAAACTAACCTAGGAGTTCTGGTAAATATACCTCCATTAATAAATTAAGCCTAAATTTGAAATGGTATTCTCTTCTTAGTTAAGCATTGCTGGAATCTATCTCTCCCCACATAATTCTCCATGTTATTTTACATACATAAATTAGAAAAGTCTTCAAAATACTTTTACCTATTCTTTTGTATGTTATAATTTCTCCTCCACTCCAACATATCTGAATTTGATTCAAGATATAATTGTAGAGATAAAAAGGAACAAATTTGAGGCCAAAACAAGAATTTGTGTTATCTCCCTTGTAATTTGAAAAATCTGTGTTATCTCTCTTGTAATTCCCTATATTTAGGAATTCCAATTTATTTGATAAAGAAATAAATAATCTCATTAACGAGAAGAAAATGGCACTTTAATTTTTAAGGTGAACAGTAACATTTTGTAGATTGGAGAGATATAAGATCTCTAAACTATATCTTATGTGAAATTCTTGGTTTTCCACATTTAAAAAGTAAATGCCCTCAATTTTACAAAACAGCCCAAGAAGGCTGCAAAACAAGTAACATTTTAATTCAGTAAACTGAAGAATAAGACTTTGCATTAGGTTTTCAGTTACTTTAGCTTGCAACATCAGAGTATCAATCCAATTCTGGATAAAAATAGAAAGCCTAAAGCATTCATTTGGTGCCTCAGGTTATTAGTTGTCTGAACTGACCATTTCTCTCTTTTTTAAGCTATCAAAGTTCAGTATTAACAGCTCTCTCACCCTGACATTCCTTTCATCTGTCACACTATTCTGTGGAATTGGCATTTCTACCTTCAACCACTTATTTTTGGTGGGCAATTACTTCCAGAAAAATATACATGATTATTTAGTTATTTCTCTACTGTGTATTATGTGTCCTCTTATCTGAATTTTTATTATTAAATTTGTGCTGTCTGTTGGCTTACATATACAAGATGACCAACCCACTTCAATTCCCTACATATAGACCTCACTAGCTGTTAACAGCCAAACTTTTTGTATGCAAGTAATGTCAACCCACTCCAGCTAACTTAAATAAAAATGTAATTTATTGAAAGCTTCTGCACAGCAAAAGAAACCATCAACAAAACAACAAGAAAGCCCACTGCATGGGAGAACATATTTACCAATGTTATTTCTGATAAGGGTTTAATCTCCAAAACTTATAGGTAACTCATACAACTTAACAAAAGAAAGATAAACAATCCAATCAAAAAATGGGCAAAGAACCTAAATAGACACTCTTCGAAAGAAGACATACAAAAGGCCAAGAGACATAGGAAAACATGATTAAAGTCACTAATCATCCGAGAGATGCAAATCAAAACAACAATGAGGTACCATCTCACACTTGTCAGAATGACTGTAATCAACAAATCAACAAATGACAAGTGCTGATGAGGATGCAGAGAAAAAGGAACCCTCGTGCACTGCTGGTCGGAATGCAGACTGGTGCAGCCACTGTGGAAAACAGTATGGAGTTTCCTCAAAAAATTAAAAATGGAACTTCGATTTGATGCAGTGATCTCACTTCTAGGAATATATCCCAAGAAACCAGAAACATCAATCAGAAAGGATATATGCCCCCCTATGTTCATAGCAGCACAATTTACAATAGCTAAGATTTGGAAACAGCCTAAGTGCCCATCAGCTGATGAGTGGATTAGAAAGCTGTGGTACATCTACACAATGGATACTATGCTGCTGTAAAAAAGAAGGAATTCTTACCATTTGCAACAGCATGGATGGAGCTGCAGAGCATTATGCTAAGCAAAATAAGCCGGTCGGAGAAAAATATCACATGATCTCACTCATTTATGGAATATAATGAACAACATAAACTGATGAACAAAAATAGAACCAGAGATATAGAAGCATTGAACAGACTGTCTAACCTATGAGGGAAGGCGAGGTGTGAGGGCATAAGAGATCAACCAAAGGACTTGTATGCATGCATATGAGCATAATCAATGGACACAGACAGTAAGGGCATGTGCTGGGAGTGGGAGTGGCCGGGGAGAGGTCAATGGAGGAAAACGGAGACTCATCTAATACTTTAAACAATAAAGAATTTAAATGAAAAAAAAAGAAAGAAAAGCTATGGGGCTCAAAGAAACAAGGAACTATGGAAAATTCATCTTAGAAAATGGGCAAGAATCAAGGATATCTAGGTAACTGAATTCATGAGCAAGAATATAGCTCAGGAACAAGTTGGTTCGATGGTCCCACCACAGGACACTACCTACAACATGCTTATTGAAATGTTACTATTACCAGAAGAATAATGAACTTTAAACTGTTTCTATTTCTTTTTACACTGATTTATTAAGACTTGTGGGGGGATCAGACTAACCAGCTTTGGTTACCTGCCCACATGCATGCTGCAGCTGCCTTTTTCAGCTCTGGCAGTAGAGTGTTCTAGGAGGTCGAGGATCCCTGCCACATGGAAAGGCTCATACTATTATGGATTCCCAAAACATATTGCCTTTCACCTGAATTCCTATCCTACTTGCAGAGTTTATAATTTTCCCTTCTTCTTACCCCAGAAACTTAAATGAATAACTTACTTCCTATTATGTTGGGTTGTAAAACAGTTTAAAAACAGGATACTAAAGATTATCAAGGATATCTCTACTTTGTTCACATTCTGTAAAAGTTAATCAGATTTGCATTACTGGTTTTGACTTAATGGCAAATGTTTCCCCTAGTACACAGATTATTTCAGGGTACTTTTTTGGATACAAATGTAAACTTGGTCTGAGATAAGCATGGTTCTTTTGGAACAAGTTTGTCATGAAGCCTAACAGATAATGTGGAAGAGGCTCATGATGGGTCAAGTAGTACAATTTTTAAACTAGTCAATTTACATTAGTCCCAATGGAGCCCAGCCATTAAAATGCTTCCCACTTATGGGTGAATAATAAAGATATTTCTTCTCAGTGAAAAACATCCTCATACTTGCTTTCTTACCTTGGGAAAACTCATGCTTATAAGAAAGACTGAATGGAAGTTCCTGGAACACTCCTCTGTGTCACAGATAATAAAACTGTGGGAATCACAGATCATAAAGCTGGAAAATTTCAGAAGTGATAATTTCTATTACATTCCCATTTTACTTTTCAGTTTGTCTGAGACAGAAGATTTGTCCTGAAGAATTATAGAGCTTTATCATGAACTTGATTAGGTGGTTTTCCAATTACAGCTATGGCCCCAAATGTACTTTCCTTACTAAAGTGAATCAATACAGCCTCTGGCTTCTGGTATGCTATTATTTTTCCCCTCTAAACCAATAAACAGCAAACATAAAAAGCAGCCTCTGGCTTCTGGTATGCTATTATTGATTCAGAGATAACTTTTTCCCCTCTAAACCAATAAACAGCAAACATAAAAAGCATTCTGCTTTCACCTGGCAGGGAC